GTTTTCCTTTTACTCACACTCCTCCCTTAATGTCAGGTTTATTTTTTGTCTAGCAACACTTCCCATAGGAAAGAACAATCACAAATGGGATCTTTAACATCTCAGTTGTTTCTCCTAGATGGCAATGAGATTACATAGACAGCAAATGAAGACTGAAATACTCAAAATTCTTCTCCCAAGAAACCAATAAGAAAGTCATTTCACATGCGAGTTAGAAAAATGTCTCGAACTATGTTCAGATTTTTTTTTAAGATGATTTTCAGCCTAAGCCTAGCAAAAGTCATTCTGTGTTTTTGATTTTCATCAAATTTCATTGTCATTGCTATCATGATGTTTGGAGACATCATCATCACATACTGGTCAAAAAATGAAAATATTGATACATCTTCTATTCGATATCTTCTAATATTGATACAGCTTTTTTTGCACCACATTGTAATCTTAAACTCATTCTTTTACCTCCATGCAAAGTTCAATAATATCACAATATTTTGTTTCCAAGGTATTCAATCTATAATGTCCATAATCAGCAATATTTATTTGTTGAAAAAAATATATATTTTTAAAGATATCCGCAGAGTTCCTACAGCTGGCCAATGAATTTCTTCCAGTTATTTGTGATTAGTGGATGAAAAAAATTAAATAATAAAATTAATACTTGTATTGATAATTCAATCAGCAATGTATTATTAATAATTTAATTGTGAATCATTTTTATGTACTTTATTAAATATTTATATAGTAATTCATTTAAAAATTAATTTAATAATTAAATGATTTAATGCTTCTTTTTATGCACTCAAAATGAGCCATTTTTGGCTGATTAAATATTGTAGAGGAAACCATAACTAGATAATATAGAAATTTTCATTATGTTTCTAGACCTCACAATCAAAAATGTCAAATTTCATTGTACTTTCTATGTGGGAATCCAGAACTAAAATCTGAAATCAGTGATTTTGATATGAATTCAAACATTACTCATCAAATTCCTCCATGACCAAATAATCTGAGCTGCTATCAAACTTGATTTTATATATCTATACTTTTACTGTATGTCATCGATTTTCTCACTTGTGTCTTTTTTTATTTCTTCTAAGGAATTTTGGGAGAAACATCTGAGACAAATTTGATACTTGAAAGAAATAACTGAGAACTGAATTACATCTCCTGAGTTATGAAAGAGCAACCAGCCCAGAGAAGCTCATGTAGAGCGGGTGTCCTCAAGCACCTCATTCCCACAGAATGCAGAACGGCGTCCAGATCCTCTTATCTGGAGAAGAAATCCAGCTGCACCTCGGAAATATTTGACGGGCTCAGAGGAGCCTGTGATCATGTGACTCTCTGAAATAACAAAGCATGGGTTAAACAAAGACAAGCGCTAGCAGATGTGTGGGAGCAGCAGGCTCCGGATCAGTCAACAGACACGTAAAGCCGCCCGATTCACTTCTCGAGGTAAAACATTTGTCATCCGCATCCACTCAGAGCCAAGCTTTTGGCAAGCATCTTTATCGTTTTGCTGCCACACAAAGAAACGCACAACTGAAAACATCATGTAGCTCGCAGGCCTGTATAAAAGGAAGAATCACAAATGAGATCTTTTTAATATCTCAATTGTTTCTCCTAAACAAATATGAGATTATTTGGTGATCAGATGGAGACTTTTGCTTAAAGGAGTTATATTTCAACAAAGAAATTTTAGCAGAAAGATGATACTGACTGCAAATGAAGGTAATTAAACGTTTTCCTCTAGGGGTCACCGCAAAAAAAAACTCAAAATGTAGATAAATGAAGTCTGTTAAATGATGCAAAGACCGATGCTGTTTGAAATCGTTCATGTTGTTAACATTAGGTGCACATCAGATTAACATAAGATTTACACATCATCTGAAATAAGCTTTCCATTGATGTATGGTTTGTTAGTGTAGGACAATATTTGGCCGAGATACAACTATTTGAAAATCGCCTTTGAAGTTGTCCAAATGAAGTCCTTAACAATGCATATTAATCAAAAAATAAGTTTTGATATATTTATGGTAGGAAATTTACAAAAAATCTTCATGGAACATAATCTTTAATTAATATCCTAATGATTTTTGGCATAAAAGAAAAATCGATCATTTTGACCCATACAGTGTATTGTTGGCTATTGGTACAAATATACTCCAGCGACTTAAGACTGGTTTTGTGCTCCAGGGTCACATATAATCAAAAATACAAGTCATCTGATCTGTCACATACTCAGATGTTCATCTGATGTTTACAATAAAAATCATAGGTTATGTTTGGAATGGGATGTTGCATATTTAGTGAGTGAGCAGTGTCTCATCTCAGAACTTTTATTTATTTTATTTAATTATTTTTTATTTGTTTGTTTATTTTATTTATTTATTGCATTTTTTTCATTCCATTTGTAATCCAATTTTGGGAGAAAATTAATTTTGTTAGTCTGGTTATATCAAGAGTAGTAATGCCAAAAGTAATAATGGCTGATAATGTTTCCACTGGTTTTGTCACTTTAAAAAGGGAAGAACAAGTAAAGTGCATTGCATTTCAGCTCAGGAAACATAATATATCAGCTTTGTCTCCATATATATATACTATATATACAGTATATATATATATATATATATATATATATATTTGAGATAGTGAATTGGTGGGTTTTTGTTAAATGTGAGCCAAAATCATCACAATTAAAAGAACCAAAGACTTAAACTACTTCAGTCTGTGCGCATTGAATTTATTTAATACACGAGTTTCACAATTTCAGTTGAATTACTGAAATAAATTAACTTTTCCACGACATTCTAATTTATTGAGATGCACCTGTATATATTGTGTATATATATATATATATACACATACACACATTTATTGCCAGGGTGATATGGTGCACATTTTGACAAATGTGGTTGGTCATGCATCTAAAAAAAGATTTATACTGAACTTGAAATAGTATATTAGCATGCTACTCTTTCTGCCATATTGAGATGTAGCTGAAATAATAACAGTAGTATGCTAGTATGCTATTCTGAATTCAGCCAGCCTGAAAGCCTTTCATATAAAGGGCTCAGCTACTAAATGACACGTAATTACAGCTGGCGCTGCCCTCTAGTGGTGTGAGACTCTCTATATATGACAGGCTTAGAGCTCATTTAGCATGTTTCATAATGAGCAGCTGCTGCCTGTCTGTGTCTGCGGGGAGTAGAGGGGTCACGGATACCTGCTTCCTGCGGTCCCCAGCAGATGGCCCTTGCTTTCTGGCACCGGAGTCACAGACGCCACCAGTCCCATTCAGGTCCCCTGGGCCAAATTAGAGGCCATTTATGGAGTTACTCAGAACAGCATAATAGGGTTGATAGGCAGCTCCAACTGATCTGAGACCTGTCCTCTCACAGCTTCCTCTCGTGTCGGAGCGTTTAGCACAGCATGTCGTAAAATTCTGTGAAAGACTAACACAACACGCCACCTGATAAACACGCTTTATGCTTGTGAGGGAATCAGTGGTGTGTTTTGTAGGATAAAGTGTGAAAGAATCCATTGCAACCTCTGAAAATAGTGAATTTAGGCTGCATTTTCTTTAAGAATTGTGTTTTTCCTCTTAGTATATAGTATAGTGGTGTAAATGAGAAAAAAACAGAACTGAGTAGAATTGTCTTTTTTTTTTTTTTTACAAGCATTAGTCTCACTTCAGACTGGTGGAAAGTAGGTAATTCTTGATTTTGCCCCTTCATTTTGATTTCATTTCATATTCAAAATATACAAACATTAAAATGTTAACAGAAATAATAAAAATAGAAATCTAGCCAAATTACAACAAAGGTTATAAATAAATAAATAAAGGTTATACAGTTATAAAATGTCCAATAGTAATATGTTACTATAATGATGACAATACATCATATATACTGTATGTGTGTATATGTATATATATATATATATATATATATATTAGTGCTGTCAAACGATTAATCGCATCCAAAATAAAAGTTTTTGTTTGCATAATATATGTTTGTGTTCTGTGTATATTTATTATGTATATATAAATACACACACGTACAGTATATATTTTGAAAATATTTACATGCATTTACATGCCTATATTTATATTCATATAATTTATATTTTTAAAATATATATTTGATATATAAACAACATATTCTTCTGAAATATATACATGCATGTGTGTGTATTTATATATACATAATAAATATACACAGCACACATACATATATTATGTAAACAAAAACCTTTATTTTGGATGCAATTAATCACGATTAATTGTTTGACAGCACTAATATATGTATATATATATATATACATTTCCATGCATATTTAACATAGATGAGCATAATTTCTTTGATATAAATAATATTTTCTTATATTTTAAAATTTCGATCTGATAAAAACCCTTATCCAAGTATAAAGAAACCTTTTTTTAATGATGACATGTAATGCATCTTATTTTAAAAAATATATTTTAAATAAATTATCTGGTGAAAGCCCTTTTTCAAAAATATCAATGTCCATAACTAAAATGAATAAACTTTTAATTTCTTTTTGCAACTATAAAAGAACCATTTTTAATGATGACTAGTAATGCATCCAATTTTAATATAAATAATATTTTAATATTTAAAAAAAATTAATTTCCAATGTTTTCTGATGAAACCTTTAAATTACAGTATAAAAATGTCAATATATCCAGATGAGGCATAATTAACATAAATGTGCTTTTTTTCTTAATTTCTTTTTTCCCATATTGATGACAATACATTATTTTAAAATATATTTTTAAAATACTTTTGCTCATGTTGTCATTTGATCAGATAAAAAGTACTAATATTGTGAAGCAAGTCTGTAAAGTTGGCAGCAGTTGAATAGAGCTCTACAGCTTCTTAATTGGCATGGGCTGGAGGGAAATTTAAAAGGGCGGAGTCAAAATTGAACCTGACCTTTCCAGCCAATCAACATTAAAGAGAGATAGGTAAGTAGTTGCATCCTTTGAAAACTCAAAGAGAGACCAACAATGGGAAAAAGTTCAGTGGTTGTTGATGTTATTTTTATAGTTTCTTGTGGATTATTGTGTCGTGCTGAACCATTGAATCAAGGGGAACTGTCTTTAGATCAGGGCTTTAGTCAAAATGCCGTCTTCAGTCATCCAGTGCCAGTGCAAGGGCCTGCACAGTTTGATCAAAATGCGGTAGCATCCAACATATTTCAAAACTTCATTGAATCCAGGAGACCTGCCTCAGCAATGGTGGGACCTCCATCACAAGAGTTTGTCCAGATACCAATGCAAGTACACCCCCAGAGAACCAACTACGCATCCATGCCTCTTCAACCTAGCAGGCCTTTGAAAAGCCAAGGACATTTTGGACTAATACAACCTAAACAAACAGTTGAGACTTTCTCACAAACCCAACAGGGATTCCACAAACCCATTCCTGGACCTGACCTCTATCCCGATGTGAAGGATGAGGTTATGGGGCCAGAGTTTGAACCCAAGGTGCCAGTGCCGGCAAACACTGTCGAGGTTCAATGTGGAGAGGTCTCCATCAAAGTGCAGGTGAAGCAAGATTTCTTGGGGAACAATCAGTTCATTAACCCCTCTGATCTGACGCTGGGTGGTTGTCCATCTGTTGGATTTGATGACCATGCCAGGATTGTTGCCTTTGAGTCAGCACTACAAGGATGTGGGAGCACATTAACGGTACTGTATGTCCTGTTAAACATTGTTTCTCCAGCTGTTGTGATCCTGTTAAGACTTGTCTAAAATGATACAAAAATCCTTGCCCAAAATGCTCTTTGGTGTTCTCATGTTTGTGGTCACCTGAATTAGAAGTGTGGCTGACCAGGGGAACCATAACATGTCCACATGATTTAATCTTTTTTTTTGTGTGTGTGTGTGTGTGTGTGTGTGTGTGTGTGTATTATGATTTATAGTTTTTATTCCTATTTGATTTTTTTTTTTTTCTTATTTTAGTGGGTTTATTTTGATTATTTTAGTGTTTTTTTTTTCTTTTCTTTTTTTTCTCATTTTTTAATTGTCTTGTATTTTTTTCTTATTGTCTTTTTTTGTTAATGTTAATTTTATAAGAATTGTATTAATTTTTATTAATATATACGTGTACCACTATTTCTTTTCAGATGACTGAAGATTCACTCGTTTATTCCTTTGTTTTGGTGTATTCACCTTCACCTGTTCCTAACACACCTATTGTGAAAACTAATGAAGCTATGGTTGCACTTCATTGCATCTACCCAAGGTAAACCTCTTTCAACCTTTCAATCTAACATGGTAGCATAATCAGGCTTTAGTTTGTACTTCAACATGGCATTTTAGTGCTATGTTAAAATTAAGAAAAAATGTAAGATTTCAAGAAAAAAGTTAACGTTTTGGTACTTTTAATAGGCCTTTTACAAGAATAAAATGACTAGGCCTATTCCAAATCAAAAAAATTTTCTTAATTTTTGTTTTCGAATATTTCTTCTACATTTGCGTATTATGTGACATTAATATCTCTAAATTTTGCATCTTAAAGGTGGGGTAAGTGATTTCTGGTAGCCAATGTTGATATTTCAAATCACCAAAACAAACACAGCCTTACCCCAAAAGGGTCTCACCCCTATTTTGATAGCTCCGCCCCACACATATGTACGCACGCAACCCAGGCAACGATTAGTTCTGTGAAACAAAGCTTCAAGGTTACACCGGACACGAGTGGCGCGGCATGACAAAATACTATAGAACTCATTATAATCAGTGATGTTGTCTACACCATAGATAGATAGATAGATAGATAGATAGATAGATAGATAGATAGATAGATAGATAGATAGATGATATAGAGAGATAGAGAGATAGATAGATAGATAGATGAGATAGAGAGATAGATGATATAGATAGATATAGAGAGATAGATGATATAGATAGATATAGATAGATGATATAGATAGATAGAGATATAGATAGATAGATAGATGATATAGATAGATAGAGATATAGATAGAGATATAGATAGATAGATAGAT